GCCACCAGGGAGGGCCCCTCTACTGAGTCTTCTTTAGCCAAACATAGAAATAATTATTTAACTGTCTCTCTGTCATCTGTATCTGCTCACCTGACTGTAACTATTTTTAATTTCTCTCTATGTACATATATCTATTATTGTATATTGAATACATATTTATGTAAACTCTAAAGATAAATGACATAAGAAATTAATACATCTTATACAATTGTATATAATTATAAATCATACATATCACATTATCAATATAATGACACAAAGTACTTTCTGAGAGTCAAATTCACACAATGTTCAAACAATGTCCATTCCTACTTTCTTATTAGAAATTGTATTTAGGGCAACATTTAATAGTTTTAAAACTTTAGTTTCTTACCTTATATGTGGACCTTGCCACTTAATGTAGTTTTAGTGAGAGATGCAATCAGCATCATTAATTTGCTATGGACAGAACCATGCAGAAAAGCCCCTTATTTGACTAACTATATGGACCTTTGCCCTCATCCTTCCAACCTTAGCCTTTGCGCTGCCTTCCCAGATGTTTAGAGCTGCTGAAGGCATTTTGCAATGATTATAGGAAAGTTGGATTGCACGACCTTAACCCTGACATCTTTGAATTGCCGATATAGCAACCTCATTCTGAACTTTTTATTATATGAGGAAACATAAAGGACCCATGTCACTGAAGCTGTGGAGATTCAACGTTTTCTTTTACATGTAGCTAATGCCTGAAACTCTGCGGAAAGAAAATGCAGCATCTTTTTCACCTTTTTGTCTACTTTAAACACTCACCTGCTCCTGCTTCTAACTTGGCCACCACCTTTAATTCTTAGATTTTTTTGAAGTTATACAAGAAAGGAATTTTTATTTTGGTTTGCATTTGAAGTTGAATGGAACATGGAATGATGTCTCATAAAGCAGAATCTTTGTATCTATGGCAACTGAAAATCTTGTGTTATACAAACTAAGTATTTTACAAAACTTGTTTTCTGATTTTTTTTGTTAACTTGTGGAAAGAAAATGGAGTGGGGTCTTGCATTTTCGGTCAGTATAATCTAAAAGAACTTGTGTTTCATTTTCTTTATCATTTATTTTTCTAGAACATCTTTGTAATGCTTGGATATAAAAAGTCTTCATGTTTTTTAGATTATTTTCTATTTTCATTATAGAAGATAATTACATCGCTGACAGAAGATATTCCATTTTTACAGACTGAAGTACATGGCACCCTAAAGTTTTATTTTAAATATTTATTTTTAATATTCAATCTCTGATGAAAAAAGATAAGAACCAAAAATGAATTGTAGGAAGATTAGTCTTGAAAGTACTAGATAAAAGCCCTTCTTTCCCTTTCTGACTTCTTTTTCACTCTTGCTTTTCCCTACTTTTTCATTCACCCTTAAGAATTTAACACACAATTATTCTTCTACCATGGCAATTAGTTAATTAAAATACAGTAGAAAGAACTGTAAGTCACAGTTCATTTATTTGGGAGCTCATGATCTAGCTGAAACATCTGACATATTTCCTTGCACAATGGGCTAGGAAGATAATGGCCTCAGAGTAGGGAGAGAAGACATTGATGAGAGTACTGGGGCTTAAGAGGAGACTCGCATCGACTTGAAGACTGATTGTTTGGGTGAGGAAAAATATGAGGGGCCTTTTCCAAGTAGTGTGAAAGGTGAAAGGCTGTAGAGTCAGGGGCAGCTGTGGATTATTTGGGAATGTGGGACTAGAGATTGTTGAGGTCAACTAAGGAGCCTCCTGCTTGAGGTCTAATGTGAAAAGTACTGAAGGAGAATGAGATGCTGTGTTGAGTTAGAAATAAAAGAAAACAAGGGGCTTAATTGTGCTCTTTTAATAGTTCTCTAATACATTTACCCTTGATGACAATACTGATTACCTGTGGATCAGTAACCTCAGCATTCTGATCATTGAATTTTGAAGTAGATAACTTAGTATCCTCAAGATTGCAGACTTTTGTTATTTGCAGTGAAATACCTAGGTGTGTTGTAAGCTGAACACCCCAGACTTCAGTGTGACAGCCCAAAACCGAAACATGTTGTTAGATGGCTGTAGTGGATGGTGATAAACATCCTCAATCAATGAAACTGGTTGCCTTTCCTGAACATATTTGTTCGGGGAACCTTAAGCTTATCCAGATCTACATAAAAACAGTTGAATTGTTTTTCCAAACTTAACATGAAAATTTGAAAGATGCTCTTTCATGGTTCTTTGTCCTTCATACTCATTTTACCTAATCTTAGCACTTTTCAAAGGGAAACCTGAAAGAGGCAATTTGTGTATGTTGAAAAGAAGAAATATCAAGAGATTGGTAAAGCCGAATAAACAATATGAAGTCACCAATGATAGATGGTTTTCATGTGTCAGAAAAAATCTGATTATAAATCTGGATAGGAATACCAGTGAACTCTAGTTCTACCTTGAGTAGGACATTCCATTTTCATATTATTTGTCTTTTATGTTACCATATGTAAGAATATTGTCCCTGACACATAAGAAAAGTATCCGATAAGAACAAGTGTGGATAATCTACTAAATTTTCAAGTGATAGAACACATTAAATTCAACACTATTTTATTTATTTCATGTTTTATAAAGAATTTGACACCACTGAATGTTGAAAATCGTCTAGGAAATGTCAAACCAATATGTGATATATTGCTATGTCTTAATTTACTCATTCAACAATCATTTTTTGAGTCTGTATGTACCAAGTGTGCTCAGCCCTGGGTTCTATTCCAGTGAAGAAGTCAGACATTAAAATAAGCCTGGAAAACAAAAAATGATATAATGTAACTGAATGTGCCTGTCTGATGGCAAAAAGGAGTCAGAAAGCCAGGAAAAGGGGCTAGAAGGATAGGAGAGGGCGGTATGTTAAAGAAGGGAGTTCAAGAGAGACCTTAGTAGGAGGGTGACATTTTAACACTGTCTTTTCTTTGAGAAAGAAGCTCAGTGAATATTGGGAGGATCATCTAGATGCCAAGGTGAGACAGTTTCTGGCATGTTTTAGAGTTAGTAGGGAGGAAGGTAGACTGGAGTGGTGGTGGAAGATGTGTGTGGTTTAGAGTAGTCTGGATAACTGGGAGATCTCATTGAGTGTAGTCGTGTCTTTTGCTTTTACTTTTTTAAGTAACAGTTTTATTGAGATATATTTCACTCACCAATATGTACTCGTAAGTGTACACTTCACTGGTTTTGGTATTTTCTGTACATTCACTCCCCAGTCAATTTTAAATTCCATCTCTCCAAAAAGACACCCTTTAGCAGTCACCCCACCCCAGGAATACTCTTCTTGTCCTGATCTACTTCCCACTTTGTTTCTAGGCATTTGCTTATCTGGACACTTACTCTGCCTTTTTCACTCAGCATAGTATTTTCAAGATACATCCATATTACAATGTGTGTCTGCCCTTCAGTCTTTTATATGGATGAATAATATTCCACTATATGGATTTTTTTTTTACTTGATTTATCAGCTGAATGACCTTTAGTTTTTTTCCTTTATTATTCTAGCTAATGCTGCTGTGATCATTTGTATATAAGCTTTTATGTGGATGTAGCTTTTCATTTCTGACTATAGAAATCCTGATTTATATGATAGTTTGTTTGACCTTTTGAGAAACTGCCAAAGTGGCTACACGATTTTACATTGTACAAGAGTTTTTTTGTTATTGTTGTTCCTCCATATCTTCAACACTGTTTTTGTCTGTCTTTTTGATTATAGCCATTCTAGTGTGGAGAGGTGATGTCATTGTTTCAATCTCAAGTTGCTTAATGGCCGTGGTGTGGAATGTCCTTTCATATGCCTATAGATTATTTGTACTCCCTTTGGAGAAATATCTTTTCAGTTCTTTTGCTCATCTTAAAACTGGGTTTAAATCCTTATTATTTTTTAAAAGATTTATTTATTTATTCATACAGAACTGGGGTATAGGCCAGAGATGTGGAGGGTGAGAAGATTCACCAGAGACAGAGTGGGGAGCAGAACAGGCGTCGTCAAAGTACACTGCTGAGGGGAGCAGGGGGTGGATCCGGAGGGGTCTGCTGCGCCACGTGGATCTCCTCCAGGGCAGGCGGGGATCGAACTCATGCGGAAGTGACTTAAGCTTTTTAGTGCTGTGCTTTAACCCGCTGTGCCACCAGGGAGGGCCCAGGTTTAAATCCTTATTTATTGTTGAGTTCTAATTTCTTTATATATTCTAGAACCAAGTCTTTTATCAGCTATATGTTTACAAATATGTTCTGACATTTTGCACATACCAATCAATGACTTACTAAAACTTTGTTGTGTAAACATTTGATGTACAAAATTATATTCCCAAGATATCACATTACAATTTAGTCAATTGTATTTCAGTTTTAATGTCCTTGACTTAACACTATTAAAATATCTAAAAAATGAATTGATATACTTTCTTATGTCATCATTTTTATAGTCACCATTATGATTGGTGAGGTGTATAAAATCTATCATTTTAATGAATAGATAAAATACATAGAATATAATTTTTGTTTAAAAAATTTGATATCTTATTTTTTAATTTCATAGATGGAAAAAGTAGAAGCAGATTTAACTAGATCCAAGTCTCTTCGAGAGAAACAATCAAAGGAGTTTTTATGGCAGCTAGATGATGTCAAACAACGATACGAACAGCAGGTTGGTCTTTCATTGATGATAGTATTTAACTTTTTAATGCATGTATAATCTTCTAAAATATCTTTATATTACTAAGTCTCTTCACAGTTAAAATATTACTAAGAATGTTATTACCAGTATATCTGGAATATTGAAAATACGATTTGTTTCAACATAAAATCCAAGAAACAGAATTTTAACTTCTCCACTCAAGTCTATTCCAACAGTTGATTAATCTGAATGTTCGAGATATTTCTAGTGATAGTTTAGTTCTTCTCTTCCTGCTGGTGCTAAGTTTGACTCATGCTTCTGTGTAAAGCGTCGTTTTCGGTATTTCCTATGTATTGAGAACCATTGTTGACTGAGAAGGAGCAGTGTTCCATTTTTCATGGAACTTACATTTTGATGGGTAGCCAGCCATAAATAAATAAATAAATAAAAACACGTAATTTTGAATAGTAATTTAAGGTGAAGAAAGAAAGCATGTACAAAGACTTTGGTGGGTGGAGGGTGGGAAGGCGGTTACTATCAGTACTGATAGATGGTCAGGGACCACTTCTGTGGAAGGGACCTGTGTGCCATGATATGTCTGGAGAAATAATATTCTAGGCTCAGGAGTAGCCATTTCAAAGACCTGAGACCTTGCCCTTACCTGATAGTGTTTAAGGATTGAAAATGACAATGAGAGCCATTTTAGACAGAGTGTAAGGAAGAAGTTTCCCACTGGAGAGAAGAGGATGACTAGGCAACATAGAGAGCTTAGATTTTGTTGTTAGTGTGCTGCCTCTTATTTAACAATAAAAAAAATTTTATTTTCCAATAAAAAAGAACTGTGTTCCTGCTGATCCTTGAAGATTTAAAGTGGCTCTATTCATTGTCACATGTTCATTCAATTTTCTTGCATTGTTTCCTTAACATTTGAAAAAATGTTAACATTTTAGTCATTCATTTAAGAAATTTTTCCTAAAGATCACATTTGAACATTTTTATTCTAGAAATATGAATACCTTTTTTTTGTCATGGTTATGTTATTAATCCTTATCAAATGGGTACAATATCAAAAATGAATTAATCCCATCTCCTAAGTGGCTCACTTGAGTTTCAGGAAAAGTCTCATTTGACATATATCCTTATAGTCGTTATTGTTATAAGCTTAAAATATTGACTGCAAAATTGGTTAAAAAAAAACTGAGTTATTTTCATAGGGATAGTATAGAGGCAAAATAGCTACAAAGGCAAAAGAATATAAATCAGCCATTGGTTATTTTACTTTCTGGACTATCACGGTCTGTCTAAGAAAATAATGCCATCATTAAAACTCGGATTCCGAGGCTTCCAGCTAAGTTTACATGACCTTTTTGCACCATCCCCATTGCTTCTTTCTCTGAAATTACAGTGTTGATTATTATTCTGTGCATTCAAGTCAGTCATTGTAAGATACAATACAGAGCTGTTCTTATGCAGAACAGTTTACAAGATAACATGGCAGCACTTCCTCTAAAATTTCTTTAAAACTGTGTTACATTCTATGATTGAGTTGTTAATAGAAATACAATTCATTATTACTAAATTTATTTAAGTTTTGATCTGTCTTTTAGTTGTGTATTGAAGGCAGAAATTTCAGTGTTCTTAATGTGAGCATCAGTGAAAATGTCACCTGTTATCACCTCTGGTTTTATGTATGTTTGTGTGTGTTTGATTTCTCAAAGAAAGACTTACATGACTGACATTAGTAATAAGTGGTGAAATGACTTACCTAAAGTTACAGTGAAATTGTCCAACTTTTTTTTTTTAAGATTTATTTACAGAACTGGGGTACAGGCCAGTTGTGTGGTAGGTGACAGGCTTCACCAGGGAGAGAGTGGGGAGCAGAACAGGCAGATTAATGAAGTACATTGTTGAGGGGAGCAGAAGAGAGGTCTGCCATGCTATGTGGGTCACCTCTGGGGCTAGGGATCAAACTCATGCTGCAGTGGCTTCAGAGAGCTTCATAATGCGGTGCTTTAACTCATTGTGCCACCAGGAGAGCCCGAAATGGTCTATTCTTTTAAGGATATTATTTTTCTTGCATTCTTTTCCTTTAGCCAAGCTGTCTTTATGGTCTTTCTCTGTCACTCAGAAACATATAGATTATTTTGATGACAATTTTTTAATAGTCAGACATGTAAAAAAGTATATGTAAAATGTTTATGATATTTTATAACTCTTTTGTTACCAGTTTTTAATTACTTTATTATGTAGTAAATATAAATATTTTTTACCATAAATAATTTAAGGAAATTTTGAACTGAATGAAAATATATATATAAAACACACCACCAAAAACTCAGGTTATTGAGAAATTTCCTTTGGGGAAAACTTAGAGCATCTTCTGCTTATATTAGGAAAGAAGGGAAGTGTCACATAAATGATTTAAGATTTGACTGTAGGAAACTAAAAAAAAAAAAGATCAAATTAATCTCAAAACAAGGAAAAAAATAGCAAGACAGCAAAATTCGATGGGACAGAAGACACAAAATAAAAATAGATGCTGTTCTTATGTCATTTTAACAGTTGAGAAAGTCATGTCACAGGGAACATAAACATGTTGCCCAAAGTCTCACTCCTGGTAGCAGAGTAAACCTAAGCTTTCTAGATCTGCGTCCCGTATTCATAAATGCTCTGCTACCCTGCTATTTAACTACCACAAACAATTTTGAGGGGTTCTCCCAGACAGCAGTATCTGCCAAGACAGAATAGGTGAGGCTGAGTGAATCATCACAATGAACATCATGTCTGATTAGAAGCCTAAAGGGGGAGAACAAAGGAGTAAGGAAAAATGAAATTATTAAAGCACCAGGACAAGAGAATTTCATAGAGTTGAAGAAGAGGATAAACACACCGGGTGGCATTGGAGAGCAGAAGGACAAAGGGAAAATCTTAAATAGGGAGATGGAAAACGGATTTCAACTGAGCTCAAGCCCTCAAACTTGTTTTTGCTTGTTTAGCACCAGGATTTTGCACTCATTTTTAATGAATTGCCATCTTTTAAGATATTCAAAGTTTTAAATAAAAATATAAATTTAGGCTATCTGGTGGCATTAGTATATCTGCAGCTATTGACCTACACCTTCCCCTAGCAATAATCACCTGCAGCCCAGAGACAGCCCTCTGCTATGTAGGGCTATACTTGTCCATTCGTTGCACCTTCTTTCACTCTCCACATCTTTTACAGACCTACTTCACGTAGTTGTGTTGTAGGTCTGTTCTCTGTGGCCATGTGTGTTGAATCTTGCTAAATCTGCAGAGAAAAAAGCATAAAGCCATTCACCATGATATTGTGATTATAAAATAAAGAAAGTGTGAAAAAGGAGATGATGCTGAAACTTGATTCTAGAAACTGCCTCAGAGTACAGAGATGTTACAACATTGGGCAGTAGAGAAGGAAATGCAGTCCCAGCAAAAGAGGATCTTCAGTTGTAATGGTGACAGGTAGAGGTCATTTAGTGGTGTTCAAAGTTCAGAACTAGTGTGTGGTTGGTTAGAGGACAGGATGTAAGTGTTGGCAGCTTGCTATTGTAACAGTAAAGGAAGGGAGAACGTGGGAATTGGGAGAAAGGGATGGAAAGAAATGGAGTGGAAATCGAAAGTACTGAGATGTCAATATCATGGGCAGTCTTGACGAAATGAGGCTTGGGTGTTTTCTTAAAGTTACAGGGTTCCCCAATAGAGGAATCAAGAAGAATATATAAACATAGTGTGAATAGTGGAAAAGAGAAGGTAAGGGAGTATAAATGAGCCAGATTTCCAGTCATGAGGAAATTAAACAATGCATAGATTTGATGAATTAAGAAATAACTTTACAGCTTTTATTTTTATTTTACCATGGAGGAACTGGAATATATGTAGTCTAGAGGTGCAGGGAGGGCTCTGAGGGAAGATTCACCAGAGACAGACAGAGTGGAGAGCAGAACAGGCAGATTTACTAAAATATGTTGCTCAGGGGAACAATAGGGAAGACAGGAGTGGTCTGCTGTGCCATGTGGGTCAGCTCCTTGGCCTTAGTGGTGGTGGCACTGAGACTTAACCCCTAGGCCATCAGGGAGACCCACAACTATAGGTTTTTGAAAGTTGGAAACAATAGGAAAATATTAATTTGAGTAAAGTAAGAATTATTTGAAGTTAAAAAATGAAGAAATACTTAAAGCAAATGTAATAGGCAAAGAATGACTCTCTTGATTATATCAATAGTTGTAACAAACACAAGTAATTAGCATATAACATAAAAAGCAAAAGTCATAAGAAAATCATGAATGTCCAATAAATGACCTGCAAAAGAAAGAAACAGATAAGAAATGAATTGAGTAAACAAGTTCGAGACATATTCAGCCTCTGTGTTAATAACAATGCAAACTGGAGTGCACAGTGATGTACCTTCTACAGTTGGTAAAAGTTTAGTGAAATTGGTACTTCTATACATTGCTAGTGGCATTATAAATTAATGCAATCTTTTTGGAAAGGACTTTGTTAGTATCTAGGAAGAGTCACAGAAAGTATTTATAGCTGCTGCCCCATTACCCTCAGAATCACACAGACATTCAAATTGATGTTAATTCTGTGTGGCTGACGGAATTATGGTTGATACTTTTTTGTCCCTCTTACTGTCTACATTTTGACAGTGCCTTTTTGTTTTTTAAGACTTATTTATTTATGCATACAGAACTGGGGTACAGGCCAGAGGTGCAGGGGTGGTGAGAAGATTCACTAGAGCCAGAGTGGGGAGCAGAACAGGCCGATTGATGAAGTACACTGCTGAGGGGAGCTGTGGGCAGGTCAGGAGAGGTCTGCTGTGCCATGTGGGTCATGTCCAGGGTGGGGATCGAACTCATGCTGAAGTGGCTTTAGCTTCTTAGTGCTGTGCTTTAACCTGCTGCGCCACCAGGGAGAGCCAACAGTATCTTTTTTTTAACGTGGCAGTCACTTTTTGGTGTAAGAAAATATTCAAGTGAATTCATTTGAAAGAACGTTACTTCAACATCTTT